TGATAACTAGGCCTGTAACACACACACACACACACACACACACACACACACCACCACCACCACCACCACCACCACCACCACTACCACCAGAGGAGCCTGTTTCACATTAACAAATGAAGGGGCCTGCCCTCTCCCCCACTTTGGGACTCAGCACATCTACCAACACCCCCAAGCTGTGGGTGACAGGGCAGCAGGCATGTCCTCCTACTTGGGCATCTAGATGAGGTGCCTATCATCAGGGCAGCAGAGGGACAATGTGCTATGGGAAGAAAAAGCACCTCAGTGTCTGCAGCCAGGGGCTTTACAAAGCATTACATTCCAGGAATGTCTGAACAAGAAGGATCTGGGGGGAGCCTGGGCAGGGACAGGGTGGGGATGGGCAGCCTTTGACCTTCCTCCTCCTGCTAAACCCACCAACTTCTTCTTGTCTTTGCCACTTACTGGGATTTCAAATGCAAACTTTTCCCAGAAAAAGAGGGCCTGCCATGATTACCTGTATGGTATCTGCAAGCTCTGGGCATACATGTTTTCAAACTTCTGCTCCCGAGTCAACGAGACGACAGTGCGGAAGTTCTCTATCACTTCAGTGGCAATCTGTAAAAGGCCACCCATTACCAGGCACAAAGTCAGACACAGGAAACACATTGAATTCTACAGTTAATAGTATTAACCTATTATAATTTCTCTTTCGTGCATCATTTGGTCTTATGATAGCTATCTTCCTATCCAAAAGAATGGTGACTTGTGAAGCTGAATTCTACATCCTTCAGAGAGACCCCATCATGGAGTCTGGCTCTCTATACGGAAAGAGAGGCCAGGACACCAAAGCATGAAGCATTTGTCTAAAGCCACACAGCATCTTTCCAAGGAGTCTGAATAACATTTATGGTTACTTTTTTCAAAATGTGATATTTATACATAACTTTTTCCCTGTGTAACTGTCACTCATGATAAGTCAATGAAGATTAAAAGATGTTCAGAGAGTAATGAAGATGATCAATAATTATACATTAATATATTTTACAAAGTAGCTCACACATGTTTTTCTAAACATCTTTAACAAAATATAGACTAAATTCTAGATTTTGCCTAGTCAATTTCAACAGTATTTTTCAAGCTCATTCAATATACATTAATAATGAGTTGGTTTTTTGTTTTCCTTTTTTTTTTTTTTTTTTTTTTTTTTTTTTGAGACCGGGTTTCTCTGTGTAAGAGCCCTGGCTGTTCTGGAACTTGCTTTGTAGACCAGGCTGGCCTTGAATTCACAGAGCTCTGCCTGCCTCTGCATCAAAGTGCTGGGATTAAAGGTGTGTGCCACCATGCCTGGCTTAATAATGAGTTTTTAATGGCTACTTAACATTGTGGCCAGCTAGGCCTTACTAACAATGGCTTCAATTCTTTCATTAAAAATAACATTGTAATAAATATATCCTTGGACATAAACATTTTCTCATAGTGATTTTCTTAGAAAACATTCTTAATATTGAGATTAAGAGGTCAAAGGGAATAAATTGCCTTTTAGTGAATATTGTATTTTGATGAGCATGATATATCAATTTTTTTCAAAAGAGTTTTTAATATTTAGTTGTGTTCTAATTGCATTTACTGCCTCCAAGGCTATTTAGTTAGGACAATATGGCTGTCACCATCCTTTGCATTCTTCATAAAGGGAAGTGGAGAACATCAAGAACATCTAGGCCACACAAAGGGGTTTTGCCTGCAACAATGGTGGGACTTCAACCACGCATGCCTCTCATTAGCTTATCTCAAAGGGGGGATATGGACCAGAAGGTCTCTAAGTCCTTTTAAAATTGTGTCTCCAGAAACTGAAGTTTGTGGTTAAGATTCTGTGCTTCCTTCTGGTGGTTTCACTGATCTAAACTGATCCTAGTAAAAACATTCTACAAACCTAGTGCAATTTGCTACTTAAAGCCATATGTGTGTGTGTGTGTGTGTGTGTGTGTGTGTGTGTGTGTGTGCTGTCATTTATGCCCCACTGAATCTTACACAAATTATCTTACTTCAATAACAGCATATATTTTATAATAAATTTAGGAAAAATTTTTTTTATAAACTTTGCACATTTCAAAAATACATACTGACTTTAGAAAATCCTGAAAGTACTAATGATAAGAAGCTAGAAGAACTAATCAACTTTAATGAAACTCCCAAAGACAATATTCATTTACACATATTGGAAACATTTTGAATTATACTGGTTCCAACAAACAGATGACATTTTCTGAATCAGTAAGAAGAATATTATAAAAATGTATAGGTACAGTTGGGAATGTGTCTCAGAAGGTAGGGCTATTGCTTTACAGTCATGAGGATCTGAGTTTGAATTGCAATCACACACATAAAAAAGCCTGGCATGGTCATGCATGCCTGTAAACCTAGGTGGTGGGGACAGAGCTTGCATAGTGTGAAGACAACAACCATTTTACAGTGCAGTCTCCTCATCTTGATGCACAATGAGGCAGTCAGGAAATGCCGGAAGTAGCAGCCATATCCTCCCAACTTCAATAGAGACCCAGTCATCACTAGCAAGAAGGAAGTTTAAGTTCAAAGAAGAGTAAACAGCACTGTTTCCTTTGAAGGGGTGTATACCAAGTTGTTCTGAAGAAAGGAAAATGTGTTTCTCAGAAACAAACTTGTACTTCTCTTTCTGCTCCAAATAAACTGAGATTTGATCTGAATTTAGTACTAAAATATGAATGGGTATATTACACAAAACTGCTCATTATCCCATAAAAATGGAATAGAACAATATCAAGCCCTGATCATAAACACAGTAGAGATTATCTGCATGGTCCATCAATCACACCACAAAGACAGGATATGAATGAGACCTCCCATTACACTGATCTGCTCTGAAATCCCAAACAAGCACATTGCCAAGTGTTGCATGGTATGTATTCCTAGGTCAGGGCCAACATTACTTGGGCCAGACATAGCCAGACCCCAAGTTTAGCTAGCTTCCAATGACAGTCTGCCGAGACCTCACCAAAGGGTGAACTCCACAGACCCTGGCTGAGAAATACTAGAGCTAGTCAGAGCATTTCCCTGAAAGAACCAATGAAAATAGAACAGGTCTAAGGCGCAGAGAAACAAAGTGTCTTTGGTGTCTCTGGGATCTTCCTCACCTTTCACATCAGTGGGGTGCGTGGAAACCACACCCCCTTACCTGCCTGGATCCCTGCTTTGTTTCTGGGTACCTGGAATGTCAGGGGCCAGCCCTGTTCTGCCCTCTCATTTCTGCAGAGAGCATGTGCTGTCTGGCTAAGCTCCACCCTAACAGAAGTTGGATTTCTAGCTAATGGGTGAGTCACTGTCTGAGTTTGAATCCTGCTCCAGGAGCGACCGGCTCTAAGGTAGAGAGGCGTCGCCTGTGTGTCCCTCAGCCTCACCTGAAAAATGAGATAATAACAGACTATACCTGATAGTGTCAGTGTAAGGAACAAAACATTTTCCAGGGAACCACGTAAATGCCACCTAACTCTTTGTCGAGCTATGAGGAAAAACAGCCGAGTGTGCAGAATAAACAGGATGAGGGGAAAGAAAACAGATACGAGAGGAAGGGAGGATGTCTGATAAAGAGGAAAGAGGGGGATGCTGAAGGGTGTGTGCTGTTTGCAGAGAAAGCAGGTCTAGGGGCCAGATCAAGGATATAAAATGGTATGAGGCACCAGAGTAATCCCAAACTGACTAGATTAAGTAATCTAAAACGAAGAGAACAAATACGCTTGGGACTTTTCTACTTTGAATCTCCCCAATCATTCATAATAAAATGCACCCACCATCCTGAATACAGGGATAGGTTTAAGCCTGGTTGAAAGGAAGACAAAGAAGAACAGAAGGTAGGGTGAGTGTGTTGGCTAGTTTTATGTCAACTTGACACAAGCTAGAGTCAGAGAGAAAATCTCAGTTGAGAAGATGCCTCCATATGATAGGGCTGTAGGCAGGCCTGTGGGGCATTTTCTTAATTACTGATTGACGGGGAAGCCCAGCCTATGATGGATGGTGCCAACCCTGGGCTGGTGTGTCCTGGATTCTATAAGAAAGCAGACTGAACAAGCCAAAAGAAGCAAGCCAGTAAGCAGTACCCTGCACCCATGGCCTCTGCATCACCTCCTGCCTCCAGGCTCCTGCTCTGGTGAGTTCCTGCTTTTGATAATGAACTGTGAGTAAAATAAACCCTTTCCTCCCCAAACTGCTTTGGCCATGGGTGTTCCATTGCAGCAATAGAAACAGTAAGGGACAGAGAGGAAAGACGTCAAAAGAAAAGATGCAAAGAAGAAAAGGACTGGCTAAGAAGAGAGGAATAGGAAGACAATGGCTTCAAACAAAGAAACAAACCCCTGAAAAAGCAGGTGTCAGTGTTTGAAACTAAGGATATGTTTCTGTTCTCCAAATTCTAATCTTGAGATAAGTGTAGTAAATATTGCCCCAAAGGTGGCTATTAAAATAGTGTCATAGACTGAGGAGATGGCTCTGTTGCTCAAGAGTTTGCCTGTCAAGCACAAGTCTGACCTCTGGAACTCAGAGGTAAACAGCTCAGCTATGCATGGTGGCATGTGCTTGTAACCCTAGTGCTGGGGGTGCAGGGATGGGCGGAGAGACCATATCTCAAAATGCAAAGTGGTCCACACCTGGGAAATAATGCCCAGGGTGTTCTCTGATCTCCACACAACATGCGCATGTGTGAGCTGAGCACCCACAGGAACACCACACACACACACACACACACACACACACACACACACACACACACACACATACACACACACACCAGCATAGTCAGAGCATAGTAACCAAGAGTAATAAGACATCGCTGGAAAGGATATTTTTTCTGCTTAAGCAACCAATCATGCTCGGTTTAACTCACCTTCCCAGAACCCTCCAGCTCCTTCTTATCTTTCAGTGCTTGTCCAGACAGCATCTTCATTTCAATCACTCCTGCTATTGCAATGATGGGTACAATAGCTAAGAGCAGAAGGGTCAGCTGCCAGCCGTAGACCAGGGATATGATAATTCCTGTCCCAAGGTTTGCTACGTTCTGGGTAATGACAGCAAGTCTGGATCCTGTGGCCTAAAAAAGAAGAAATTGGAGACACGTCTTATATTCTAAAATATTTTCTAATATATTTTTAAGGATAGTAACACATTTTCATGAAAATTTTCTCTCCTATGAAATAAAAGGAAAGATACACTTGTTAGAAGTTTTTGGTTTCTAAAATGAAGATTTCCATGATTTAAGAATACTAAATGTAGGCACCCAGAATGCAAGAACATATTTCTATCTATTCAAATCTTTCAGTACCAAGAAAATGTTTATGTACCAAAGCATGATGATTAAACCAAACTCAGCAATCAGAATGGTAAGAATCTGGCAATTCTATTGAACTGGGAATGGTGGTTGTCGAGGTATAAAACTGCTTAGAGTTTAAGGAAGAGATGTGTCAAAAAAGGCATTCAAATATATTTGGGACTATTTGTTTTTTCTGTTTTTTTTTTTTTTTTTTTTTTTTTTTTTTAATTTGGCCAGGGACACGACAGAGCCCCACAGCAGAGATCAGGGACCACTGAAGCTCAACACCATGCGAAGTTCAATACCACGCTTCACACTTTCGCCATAAAAATTGTTGATGGAAAAGAAACTGTCACTTCACCCAAAAATCAAAACCCCATTGTTCAACAGTTTCTATTTATATCAACTGGGGATTGAGGTAACAGCACATTTTCAGGTTTATAGTTTGCTGAAGTTTTTCTGTCCATGCTACAGTTTTAATGTGCTTTTCATTGTTTTCAAAGTATTTTAACAACATTTTCTTTGTTTCTTATCAAATTGTAATGTGTCCTTTATGTTTTAGATAACAACTACACTATTCTTTTTTCTCCCAACATTTTTATAATTTATATATATATATATATAATTATATATATATATATAATGTCAATCATAAATATTAACTGAGCATGGAAAATAGTGATTCTGGTGGGAATGCCAAGAATATTTCCTTTCCTAAGTAACTCTTCTTTGGTATTCATCTTTTTTATGGCTGACAGCAAATATAAAAGAAAATGTATAGCTATCTATATACTATATGGCATATAATCTTTGACTTTTAACCTATTTACTGTAATGGATCTGATCATTTGTGGGCTAGAACTTGTGGTTTGAATGAGAACTGTCCCCAGAGGCTCGGGCGTTTGGATACTTGTCTCCCAGCTGGTGGTCCTGTGTGGAGAGGGATGGGAGGTGCAGCTTTCCTGGATGAAGTGCATCACTGGTGGTGGACTTTGAGAGTCTAAAGCCTCCCACCGCCTCCAGCTCACTTTCTCTGCTCTGTGCCTGCCACTGAAGAAGTGACCGCTCCGGCCCTGCTCCTGCTCCTGTGTATGCCACTGCTGCCCTCCTCTCCGCCATGATTTTCTCTTAGCCCTCTGGAACTTTACATCCCAATAAACGCTTCCTCCTATAAGTTGCTTTGGGCCACAGTGTTTTACCACAGCAATAGAAACGTAATTAACACAGGTATCTAGTCACAGCATCTTCAAATGGTTACCAGGAAGTCAGTCTCATGCTAAGCCTAAAACAGCATTGGGATGACCACCCACAGAAAGCAAGCACATACCCCTTTCACTTGAGCGGCGTCATTGGCGAGCCTGGTGGTCAGGGCTCCAGTGGTGTTCTTAGGGTTGTCAAACCAGCTCACATCCTGTGGCACAAAGAGATTTGTTAGCTTACAGTCCTTCTTAGGCCACTTTAGCTCTAGGAGGAAGGGCACGGAGACACTTTGTTTAGCATTCGCGTCCTCTTCATTTAGCGTCAGGATATAACAGCCAACAGACAAGGAAGGGATTTAAAAAACAAACAAAAATAGAGTACTTCATTTGCCAAAAGTATGTCTTGCTCTCAACTTTGTTTAAAGCCTGACTCTAAGTGTTGAACAATGAACACTAACAACAAAGTTGACGATGTCTTCAAGACTTCCTTCTAGAGTTGGAAGGCACACAGAAATAAGAATACACCATTTCAGATGGTAATAAACATGTTGGAGAAAAAGAACAGGGTGAGAAAGATAAAGCTGTGAACAAGGTGCTGTTTTACAGAGTGGGGAAGAGACAGGGAAGTCCTTTCCAGAAACACGTGAGCAGAGACCAAAATGAAGGAAGGGATGAAAGTATCTAGAGGAGAAAGACGCAACACTCACAAAGGCCCTGAGGCTGAGGCATACTTGATCTGCTCACACACAAGTGAATTACATCCTGCAGGCAGCCTAACTTGTCCTACTGGGATTCCCCAATTCTCTCCTCCCCAACCTTTGTACAGTTACCTAACCGATCCCTGAAGATGACCTCTGTGATGTGGGTGAGGGTTGCCTTTGGCAACTGTAGGTACTACATAGGGCCTTTTTTCCTGAAAGATCCAGGCTGCCCCTAGATTGGGATGAGGAAGGAGGTAATGAAAACAGCTAGGAGGCTGATGTCACTTTAAATAAAGAGGGGAGTCATCAAGGTTTGAGTCTGGACAACTGGTAGAGAGATATAAAGAGTAAGTAGGCTGGGTGGTGGTGGTGCATGCCTTTAATCCCAGCACTCACTGTGGAGGCAGAGGCAGGTGGATATCTGAGTTTGAGGCCAGCCTGGTCTACAAATTGAGTTCAAGGACAGCCAGGGCTACACAGAGAAATCATGTCTTGAGGGGAAAAAAAAGGAGTAGATATGAAGTAGTAAGCCTGCTGCGGCAAGAAAAATAAAAAACTCAAGTTCAGAAATATTACAGTGTGAAGCACTTATTAATATCAGAAGAGAAAATGTAAACCAGCAGATAGTTAACTCTAGGCAGGGCAGAATAAATGAACTGATTTAAAAACAAACCAAAAGCAATTTAGATTTTAAAATGCACATACAATGTAAAATGGGATTTTATTCATAAAACTTCTTATATTTTCATTTTTTTACATGTATTAATGACTGATTGCATGTAGCTGCATGAACTTTCCATGGCACATGTATGGAGGTCTATGGGAGTTGGCTCTTTCCTTCCATCTTAGGCGCTCTGGGGATCAAATTCAGGTTAGGCACCTAAATGCCTAAGCTTTCTCACATCCTCATATATTTTAAAATAAACACAATGTGATTTTAATTATGAATTTATGTCTGTCACAAATAACTTTAGTTTCTAAGACGTTACCTGAATTGGTAATTTGTAGTAAGAAAGTAACTACCTTCTTATTTTGAAAAGCTAGAAAATGACTCATTATAGTCTACATCAATTAACTTTTTAGTATTTAAGTGTTCCCCAACTGGAATGTGACATCTTTGAAGAGAGAGACCATTCGGATTTAAATGGCTTGCCAAACTTAGTAGTATACTTCATAAGTAGTGGCTATGATGTCCTTGCTCTACTGAACAGTTTTTACTGTTCATACACACCATCTGCCCAGCTCTCAAAGTATAATGGGCCTGACAGTTGGCCTAGAGGCTGATGGGGTAATGGGGCATATGGTGCTGTAGCAAGGTCAACTTTGAGATTGTTTAAGCAGAATCAGGGTTATAAATACAGCTTGAAAGCTTGTGATCCCAGAACTTGGGAGATGGAGTTCAATATTATATTCAGCTACATTGTGAGTTTGAGGTAAACTCAGGTACAAACGACCCTATCTTAAAAAAAAAAAGAAAATGAGAGGATGGACACGGCTTGACAGAAGAGTCCAAGGGCAGGGAGGGACCCCCATAAAACAGTGCTCCCTCACCCATCAGGTTCTGCTTCAGCTGTGACTGTCATTAGCCATGTGTATGAAGACACCATTAGCTAATTATTTCTATAAATATGTAAGTGGTTGTAGGTGGGGTGGGAAAGGACTGTCTTCTGGAAATTTGAACACAAGAAACTGGTATTTCTCACTCTTGTTTTTGTTTTTTTCAGTGTTGGGGACTGAATGGGGCCTTATGGATTCTAGGCTCAACCTCTGTGTTACATTTCAGTCTTGTGGAATAGCTTGCAGATATATCCATTACATATCCCATGAGTCTCACGCATCCCAGGATGCTATTAATGTGGTCCAACAAGTTTGTAGATAACAATCTCACATTTTAATGTAAAAAAGTTGGACACCTCTGTATCAAGAGCATCATTTTATGGAGGTAACTAGTAATTTTGAAAGGGAAGATTTAAGATCACATACAACATTTTCATGATTGCTAAAGTTTTCTACTTTGAATGGGACTGTTAGCAATATTGTCAGTTGTTAGGGATCTGAATGTACAAAGTGTAATAGGCACTCCTAATAAGTCATGACCAGCTAATAACACTGTAACTTGGGTTATTCTTTTAGTCTTACCTCAGCAAAGAATCTCAACAGAGAGGAATGGGCAATGAAAATTAATCTGAATTTGGGCAAGAGGAATGCAAACTATCTCCAGGTTCAGAGAGTCATGACAGCATGTTCTGAGTGTGCAGGAAAAAGAAGGTGATAGAGGAGTGCAAAGACATAGAAGATCCCTTCCAACATGCCTCAACCTTCGGCTAAGACAGAGTATAGAGGATCACCTTGGCTTCTATTGCCTCTCGCTGCTGAGATAAAAAAGATGATGGAGAATCATCAGGAGACACAATAGTCTCAACACCATCTGGTTCCTTGTGCCCGCCTACAGCAAACAGACTGCAGGTCCACAGCCTACATCTATCTACAGATGGCTCACCAACATCCCAAGAGGAGCTTGAGGAGACCAGTGCAGCCTACATCTACAGATGGCTCACCAACATCCCAAGAGGAGGCTGAGGAGACCCATGCAGGATCTCTATCTAAGGAACTTGACAGTGCTTTTACAGTCTGTGTCCACAGAGCACAAGAGAGAAGTCCTACCTCCCCTCCCCGGGTGCAAGCTCACCAGCCGTACCTGTCTCAGCATGGATTTGAAAACCATGTATCGCAGTCGCTTGGTGAGGATCTCTCCGGCTTTGCCAAACGTGAAGCCCTGTGAAGAACGAGAATGCGTCACACAGAAGGCTGGCCGGAGACTCAGACACCGGCTACACAGCAGGGTCAAGGCCTGTGAGAGTTCTGAGAAGGACGGGGCTCAGTCTGAGCTCCCTGCCTGTTTCTTGGGTGACCAGTTGGACATTCTGTCCTTTCCAGCACTGGGCTGTGTTTACATATTTGAAATCCACGGATCTACTCACTGTTCTTAATGTGTTTTGAAGTCATGGGGGACTATCATACCACCGTAGCCAGAGTGTGAGGGGACTGCTTTCTCTCCCTCTTCTTCATCACCCCAGCTATCAAAGCAGAAGTGACCAGCTCAAAGCTGCTTCACTTCCAATCTCTTACCAAATTCACATGGAGCAACTGTACATTTTCCCACTCCTGTGACACTCTCCCAGGCTGTATTATTCTACCAAGAGCAAGTTCCACAATGAATCCTTTACTCACTTAGTGAAGACACACCATTTTTTCTTTTGAGTTCCTATGCTAAGAACAATTTTTTCTGTTAAAATATTAATATATTAGAATGTGTTAAATAAAGAAACCTATTTAGTTTTAGCTGATATTATTTACATGTGTGCTAACTGTTAAAATACTAATACAAGCTGGGAGGTGGTGGTGCACACCTTTAATTCCAGCATTCGAGGCAGAGGTAAGTGGATCTCTGTGAGTTCAAGGCCAGCCTGGTCTCCAGAGTGAGTTCCAGGACATTCAGGGCTACAAAGAGAAATCCTGTCTTGAAAAACCAAAACCAAACAAACAAAAATCAAAAACAAAAAACAAAAAACAAACCTAATATATACTTAGAATGTGTTTAATAAAGAAACCTATTTAGTTTTAGCTTAAAAATTCATGGACTAATTATTGATGCATTAAGTAAGTGATCACTTACATTTTTACTCAATAAGTAGAAACATAATACCTCAAATCAGTCTGAACACTTGGTCACATGAGCTCTCTTAATTATCAAGAGGCAACATTGCCCCCATTTACAGATAAGGAAACTGGGGCCTAGACAGCCTAAAATACTAGACACAAAATTGTGTATGTGTGCAAATACATATTTTCAAACCTGTGTCAAACACCAAAGTCCGTACTGTATGTTTTCCACATTACACTGTGAGAGTGTCTAGTTCATTTACAAATGTTTTTGAGCCAAATGATCCACAGGCTGCGAAATATCTTGTATACATTCCTTAGGATTTTTAAGACTGTCATTTTCTCTTTACTTTCATTTTTTTCCCTTTTGTAAGAGCTTGATGAGCGTTTGCAAACCTTTTTAAGTCAGTGTGACCTGTTTGGAAGTTTCATTTGTTTGCCTGCCTGCCTGCTTGCCTGCCTGTCTGTCTGTCTGTTTTGGAATACAGGAAGACATTTCCCTGACTATTCAAAATGACCAATGGATTGCCCATCCAAACTGATATCCAGGACTTTCCCCAAAGTCCCCACCTTCCATTTCCATACCAGACAGAACAGTCTGTTCAATATGATTACATCACTGTTTCCATTTGGGGCATGGTTGGTTGGAAGAGAGAAGGTGAGGCTAGTCAGAGGATAAAAAACATTCTGGCTATCATTGGCCATGGTGAAAAAGGAACAATTTTATGATAAAGACAATTACATGTTTATAAATCCACCTGGGTGGAGGAAGTGAAAATCAGACACTTACCTGAAGAAAAAACGTAATAAAAGAAACGATCCCAAGGATCAGAAACAATAAGGAAAACAAGTTGCTTTCTTGCCGTTTGGTTTCATCGTCACTAGGTCTTGTAAAAACCTATAAAACATATTTGAAGGGTTGTTAGTTTCACCACTAAGAAAGCATTTCACATCTGCCCCCATTCCACACGTCATGCAGTTTAGGAGTTGGGAGAGTCTTTGTACACTGGACCAGGGTTGGCTTCTGCAATAAAGTCAGCCTCCAACGCACCTGCATTCTGCCTTTGTTGGCTGGGGGATGGGGGTAGGATGTTGGAGGTGGGGCGGGGCGGTGGTCTGTCATTCACAAATACATCCAGCATTCTTTGCACTCATGTTCCTCTTGGAGAAACAAGTGCCATACTTCTTTGTAAGAAGAAATCAAACAAATACTCTGCTTTTGACTTTCTTGTAACAGACTATCATAAATCATGTCTTTGTGTGTGTCTGTCAGGGGGGAGAGCATGTGTATGGAAGACAGAGGTCAAGCTTGTGAATGGTTGCTTAGGATTTCCACTCTGTGTTTTAGATTTACTATTTACTTTATTTTTCTGTGTAGGAGTTTTTTGCCTGCAGGTATGTATGTGTACCATGTGTGTGCCTGGTTCCCATGGTTCAGATCCCTCTTGAACTGGAGTTACAGATCATTGTAAACCACTAGGTGATCACTGGAAACTATGGGTCCTTTGGAAGAGGGCCAGTCTCCAGACCCTCTACCTTGTTTTGTAAGATGGTGTTTCTCACTGGACCAGGGCCAATTAGGCTAGAATGGTCAGCCTGTTTGTCCTGGGGATCCTCTTATCGCTGTATTTCCAGCACTGGAACTACAAGTGTGCATCACCACCCCTGGCTTTTACACTGGTGTTGGGGGCAAACACAAGTCTGCATGCTTACACAACAAGCATTTTATTGAGTCATCTTTACAGCCCCACCTCAACTACGTGGACATCTCAAAGTGTCTGGAGAGAATATATTTACGTGTTCTTGCTGTTGAAAGGAGGTGTCATCCAGTCAACCTTTCAGAGAGAAAGGTACCTTTCCAGTATGTCTTGTAGGAGTTACAGCCAGAAAGCCAGGTGGCCATGACAGCCAACTGGTTGAGGCCTCAATAGAGACCTTTCCAGAGATAATTAGAAGTGCTAAAAGATGTTTGGAGCTGAAAGAACTTAACAGCACAATCACTCAACACAGGAAGAAAACACACCTTTCCATCTCTGGGCCAAATCAGTTTTTCAAGAGCAACACATTTCTAAACCAACCCAGAAAACTTTATGCTTCATAAAAAAGGGGAAAAAATAATTTCCAGAAAACATTAACTCATTTTTTCTTGATTAGTCATTTTGGCATTGCACTATATTCTAGGCATGACTGAATCCGCACTCACATGTACTGGTCCTTCTATCTGGGGGCATCTGTTATATGACTATCACCATTTTACAGAGAGAAAGTGAGGCAGAGTGATACCTTAACCTACTCAAGAGAGCCAGGAAGAGATGAGCCAAGAACAGAACCCCAGGCCTTCTGACCCAGAGCCTACTATGTGCAGTGAGGCAGATAGCTGCCTGCCTATCTTAGAGTCATCAGTCACCAGATGGAGCTCTGCAGGAAGAATGAGGAAAACCTAAGTGCCATTGTTGATTTTTCTTGTCAAAAACAGGCAAAGCCATTTCCAATTTACCTTTGTTTACAACAGAAACCACATGGCCAACAAATCATAAAATATTTGCTCTTCTTATGCTTTACAGAGCATGTTTGCTGCCTGTGTCCTACACTGTATTTCATAGAATCAGATGTTTTTCCTTCTTTGTAGCATTTTCATAGCATATAAAAATACCTTACACAAATTGGACACTGAGCAAACATTTCTTGAATGACATATTAAACATGAGTATTAATCGAGCAAGGCATAGGTAGACTAGAAGAGTTATGTCTGTTTGGTTGTACAATGAATAGTGTTTGTTTTATGCTTCTTATGGTGATGTTTCTTTCTGCAAAAGATTTTTAGCAGTAAGGCAAATGTGTCTTCAGTATGATGTCTGATGGTTTGCATCTGTCACTAAACCAAGAAAGAACATGACCACATCGACTGTAGGTGTTTTTTAAGTGCTGCTTTTAAAATAAGGGCAACCCCGCATGTGTATTTCTACCTCCAGGGAGCTTGTTATAGTTTGCATATGAAGTCTCCCCACAAAAGGCTCATTTGGTAAATTTTATTCCTCAGCTGGTGGATCTAGTCATGGGTGGGTGATTGGACAATGAGTGCTCAGGCCTCATGAATAGATGGATACACTACATGAGCATTATAGGGAAGTGGGCCCTTGTTAGAGAAAGTAGATTACATCACAGTGAGGAAAGGATTCTTAGAAAAACATGCCTTGTTACTTGTTCATTCTTATCTTTCTTTTGTTTCCTGAATGCCATGAGGGGCAGCTTCTGTCTCGTGCTCTTACCACCACAACTCCTGCCTCAGGCTCGCGATAATGGATCCAGCTGACTTTAGACTGACACCTAGGAAACTGTGAACAAAATAAATCTTCCCCTCTCTTGTATTTCTTCTCTGAGAATCCAGCATGGTAACACATGCCTGCACCCACAGGAGGCTAAAACAGAAAGCTGAAGTTCAAATTCTGCCTGGGCTACACAGTGAGTTCAAGACCAACCTAGATAACTTAGAAAGACCCTGTCTCCAGATAAAAATAATAAATAAATGGCAAGGGCTGTGCTCGGTGGTGTAGTACTTGTCTAGAATATGTAAAAACATGGGTTCAACATCCTGTGAAAAAAGAGAAAATCCCTCAACTGTCTGTTACAGTGATGAAAAGCTCACTAATGGAGAGCTGCTTCCTTCCTTCTGTTTTAGTCTTTGGAAGTGAGTGTAGTGTGTGGGCCTGCTCATGTGCTGGCCAGTGTGTGTGTTACACAGCAGGTCATTGCCAACACAGTTCGACAAACATAAAGAGTCCCTGGGCAGGTCAGCTAGGTTCATCAGATCAGTTCACGACTTGGGCTCAGAGCTCGATGTTGACTAGCATGGAAGATTGGGTCCCCTGTTCCATTGACTATGTCAGGGAGTGGGTACCCAGGGCCAAGTACAAAAACCACTGGGAACCCTAGATAGAAATTAATACAAACGATGTTCACAAAATTGTTCTTCTTATAAACCCAACTTCAATTATACTTTCATCCAAGTTTGTTTCATGTGAAGGAAAATGTGTTTATGGTGTGTGTGTGTGTGTGTGTGTGTGTGTGTGTGTG